CGTTAGAACGCAATAGATCGCATTAAAACGCAATAGATCACATTGAGCGCGCCGGACGTATGCGCATTACGATCGAGCAAGCCATAGTTTATGATCGGTAATGGATGTCTGAGCCATAGTTTATGATCGGCCATGGACTCTGATTTAAGATCAAGGTGGCTGGTGCAGAGCTTGAAAAAACGCCTGGTACTTATGTATGATAATGCAGGCATCTATGAAAACTGTGAGAATAGGCAGAAGTAGAAAACCTAAGTCATTGATATGCGAGACAAAAAGGCCCATGCATGTGCAGGTGTGGAAAATATCTAGATTTAAAGTCACCAATAGAGCCGTCTTGCTATTTTTGGAGTTGCAACATTCCCAATAAACTAATTATTTCCTGTCTAATTATTAACAAAAGTTCAGGATCTAGCTGCAAGATTCCAAGTACATTGAAAAAATATCACTTTGGAGCAGCAAGATTCTAGTGTGATGTTTGAATTTTTCAAACCTTTGTGTGTGAATACTTCTGCCTTTATTGTTCCATGTCCATGGCAGCTGCCAGACTTGGCATAATTTCTGCTGGAATAATTATGAATAATGGGCAGATCTTTGCTTGAGATTTTTTAAATCATCTTGTAAACAATAATTTGACCTGCAATTTTTTGAAACTTTTATCCAATATTTAAGATAGGGTATACATGATGCTTGATGTGTCTTCTTGTATTACTTCAAAAGGAAGATTTTAAAAAAGTCTCTGTATTGCTAATATGATGCCAATGCTACAGTGCCACTTATGTAGCCGTTTTTCAAAATCTACCTATTATGTTGCCAGCTCATATTACTGATGGTACAGCTTTTCCTACCTTTTTGCCTTAGTAGCATCAAGATTCCTGCTACTGCCAATAAAACATGAGTTGCCACTTGCCAAATACTGAACATAACTTGTTTCTATAAGTAAGAAGTATAATAATTGTAAGAACTGGGATTTTAAAACTTTTTAAATTATGTATTAAGTGCCAAGTTTTGATCTTGCAAGAAAGTATTTCAGTACCAGGATTGTTTGTGACAGATTGCTTCTATTGAAAGCTGGTGATTTGGGTTGCCACATAAGTGATGTGGCATTTGTGTTAGATGATATATTGCCTATTTAGTTGTTACTATGACTGCAAAATTTAGAAAACAAATATCAATGTTACTAAAAATGTCTGGCCCTTGCAGTTCTAATATTCCATTGAAAGCATGAAAAGACATTTTCAATCTCAGCTGCTACTGGATTTTTAGGGCTGTACATTTGGTAATTTTGCTTCCACATGAAATTTTTTTATTAGTGAGCAAAAGTCACAATTTGGTAAAAATTTCCAACATTTATAAGACCAAATCGGCGTGAAACTTAGATGAGGTAATTTATGATTTGTAACTCCTTGAACATTGGATGTATAAAGCTAAAACAATATACTGTATCTTATAGAAAAATAAGCTGATTTTTTTTGGGTCTAGCTAGTGTCGTGACTTGAATGATATTTAATATCTGTATCACTATGAGTACCTACCTACCTATTTCTGGAATTCTATCCTGGAACCATCATGGGTCTGGATACCCCATGGTCTGACTCCTATTTTGATCTATTGAAAAAAGTGGCATAGTATTTATATAGCTCTGCCTCTGTTAGTGTAATGGTAACAATTATAATTTCAGGAAGCCCAGAATAATGAAGTGTGGCATCCCCTAAAATTTTCTCCAGTAATGTCAGCAATTGGTGTAACTAAAGAAATGAATATAGTACTGCTTGAATTGATTAATCCTTGTATTTATTACCTTTTTGTAATGCTATTTCTATCAGAATTGCAGGAACTAAAACTATATTGTCTGTTGAGTATTTAACATTAATTTACCTATGTCAAATTGGGAATTGAAATAAAGATAGTACTGCAATTAAAAGGAATATATGATAAACATTAAGGCAAAATTTTATTCATAAATCATCAATTAGACTTGTGTACAACTTGGAACACTGAACCAACTTCACAATATATGTTAGGATGGCTATTTCACTGCTCTGTTGGCACCAACCAAGTGCTCTTTAGGATGACTGTGATTGTTCCAAGTGTAATGTGAAACATGCTATGAACACCATTAACGCTACACTGTCAATGTCAAGTTTTTGAGATCCAGATTGCGTTTGAGAACTAATGCAGGTTTCTATTTCATAAGATCCATAATTTGTTGTGAATGAATCTGAAATTGCTCCTGGAAATCAATTTTAAAATTGAAACAAACTTCTCTCCAGAAAATCTCATTTTGTCATGTCTGTAAATGAATTATCCTCTATTTGCAGGAAAATCTTGAGCCAGAACATCTTCGCAAGCTCTTCATTGGAGGGCTTGATTACCATACCACTGATGAGTCCCTCAAAGCTTACTTTGAACAGTTTGGAGAAATAGTTGATGTGATTGTCATGAAGGATCCCCAGACCAAACGCTCTCGAGGTTTTGGTTTTGTGGCCTTTTCTCAATCCTACATGGTGGATGAGGCTCAGAAGAATCGACCACACAAGATAGATGGTCGAACTGTCGACACAAAGCGAGCTGTGCCCAGGGATGAGATTAGCAGGCCTGAGGCTGGAGCTGTGGTCAAGAAACTCTTTGTTGGAGGAATCAAGGATGTTACAGAAGATGTGAGCTTTTTGAATTGAATATTTATAATTTTTTCTATTTCTAATGTCATTAAATAGAAATTGTAATTAATTAATAAATCAATGTTCTATGTAAATCTTATTTGCTCACATCTATGGCTCCAGAATATTTGTTGAATTTGTAAATTTTAGTTGCCATATTTCAGGTGTACTTGTGTAGAAATCAATATTTCTTACTTGAAATGCATGAAACTTATGTGTACTTGAAATGCATATATATCTCAAACATATATTTCTCAAAATTCTCGAGGCACTTTTCTCATGTTTCAAGGTGCCATGTTTTATGACTAATTTTTACCATATATTGTTTTAGGTGAATTAATTGATCATGCTCTGTGTCGTGCAGGATGTACGGGATGTGTTCAGCCAGTTTGGAGAGGTTGTGAGCGTCAGCATCCCTGTTGAACGTGACACTAATAAAAAGCGAGGCTTTGCCTTTGTTGAATTCACTGATTCTGACTCAGTGGACAAGGCTTGCTGTGAGTATATATACCTATTTATTTTTGTTTGGAAAGCATATGTCATTTCATGAGGATTCACTAACAGTATATTGAGTTATTATTGTATTTCTGAATAGAGAAAATATTGATTTCACAGTATGTTTCACTGATGTATAACTTGATAATTTATTAGACGATAAATTAATAATTTATGTATAGAATATATATTTTTTATAATTTATAAATGTGCAACTAAATTACCAGAGAATGCATGGAATCAAATTTTCAGTTAGTCTAGCAATAGGTACTTCAGACGACATTGGTGCATCACACGTGTATAAACAAGCAAACTGTGCCGTCTTATACTAAGTAATACTTAATTTGTATTAAACTGTAATTAACTTTCTGTATTTCCTAACAGTACATAAAGACTTGATGATCAATGACAAACGCGTTGACGTCAAGAAAGCTGTTGATAAGAACGAGATGGCCCGACGCGGTGGAGGCGGCGGCGGTGGCGGTGGCCGCGGCGGTGGATGGGACAGCCGAAATGACAGCTGGGGAGGAAACCAGAGCTCTGGCGGCTGGGGAGGTAACTTGTGTTCTTGAAGCTTATAGTTAACTTATTGTTTTAGCCTTGATATTATCATCTTTATTTTTGTTTTGTATGTTTTTTTAGTTAGGTATCTTAGACAGTTTAGATACCATGGTGGGGCAGTGAATATTGAATGCAATTAAAAATCTCTTCACTTGAGCCAGAAAGCTTCTTTCTACAAATTATTTATGTATATTTACTCTTTGTAATATAAATTTTTCAAACTTTTTTAATGCATTCATCAATTGTTGTCAGTAGTGATGAACTTGATTGTTTATATTCTTCAATTGTTTTACAGGCCGCAGTGGTGGCGGTTGGGGCAGCAGTCAAGGAGGCTATGGAAGCCAAGGTGGATATGGAGGTGAGGAATATATCTTGTACTGCAAAATGTTATCGGCATTTAGTGAGACAATCTATAACAAGGAATGAGAATTGTTTCTTACTGTTTTTCATATGACTTTTCATACTAGAATTAGGATTTATCATGTACTTCTTTCTTTGATTGCAGGCAGCCAAGGTGGATATGGTGGAGGTGGAGGCTATGGTGGTAGCCAGGGTGGATATGGAGGAGGTGGCGGCTGGGGTGGCAACCAGGGGGGACAAGGAGGCTGGAGTGGTGGTGGCCAGGGTGGCTGGGGCAGCAACCAAGGTGGTGGACAGGGCTGGGGTGGTGGCCAAGGGTAAGTTCCTTCTAATTTTGTTTATTCTAATTATGCTCAATGATTGATCAAGGTTTATATACGGAGTCTTTATTTCCAAGTTTTGTCTTATATATTACCTGCTAACCAAGTAAATTCGCGTTCAGTTGAACCACTAATATTTTTCTGATTTTTTTTTGTATCTTACATTTTATTTGCTGATCAAATTTCCTCGGCTTACAGGAAAAGTATAAATGGAGAAGATGTCAAATTTGTTTCCCCATTTACTTGTGCACACTTATTCATGTTCACCATACAATAGTTATTATTTGTTTACCATACTATACATATTCACTTGCAACGCTATTCCAAGGCCTAACAATCACCATTACTCATTACTCAGCTTTAACTTCTTTAGTACTATCACATTTACAGGTGATCAATATGTTCTTCTTTCTTGTCAGAGAAAATACTCCACACGATTTCCTTAGTAACATGTACTTGTTTGCCACATCAGCCGTGTGAATAACTTACAATTGCTGTCATCAGTTACGGTGGTGGCTCTGGTGGTAGTGGCGGAGGATGGGGAGGCCAGCAGAACGACTTTGGCAACAACTACGGACAGAACTATGGCGGTGGCCCGATGAGAGGACAAGGCAGCTACCAGAACACGCGTTCCGCTCCCTACTCTGGTCTGTGTCGCAGATTTATTTATACTCATTGGTAACCCACGTTTCATTTCTCTAATATCAAATTAATACAGAGAATTGGAGTTGTTTGGGCTACACTTTATAAAGCTGGGTTGTACAAACTCATCGTCAATGTTTTTATTTTTTAATAGTTTTACTGGTAGTCTTGTAGCAATGCTATAAATTGAAGTGCTATAAGAACACAATAGTAGCATCTTGTGAATAACTAAGGTCGACAAAATTTTTCAACTCGTTCCTTCATCTTGGAACGATTTGAACTGCAGAGAAAATCAGGCCTGTTTATATGCCGCTCTAACTTCATACGATCATGAGATGACAGGTAAGTGATGAAGCACCAGTTAGTTTTACTCTGGTCCCTCTGTCTATTATTTTCGAAATTAATCATTTTACCTGAGCTTCTCCTAGTGTGTTCGCTGCAACTTCTGTGGAGTTATCGTGGCATGTAGAGCGTCCCTTGGCGTCTTGTATTCACGGTACATCTAAGCCATAGTTTAATGAAGCTCATTTGATGGTTTGATTAGTCCAGTCGATGCAACTATATCTTCCTCATATGTAGCAACTTTACCTTGGACAAGCAGATATTTGGTAAAACAGTTTCGATTGTGTTTATTTTCGTCTCGCATGATGACTTATAATGTCTTACTTCATTTGCAGGCGGCAATCAAGGCTATGGAATGTCCAGTGGTGGCGGTGGTGGAGGATATGGAGGCTCCAGTAAACGCTACTAAACTCCATCTTCTTAGTTTTACTAAGTAAAGTAAGTGTCTTTGACTTTAATTTACAATTTCGGCATTTCTAAACCTTCTTTAAAGCAGACTATTATCCACCAAAATTTATTTCACTTTTCCCGCGGTCAAATATTACTTCATGGCTACATTACTTATTAAATGCTCTCAATATTAACTACAACAATTCTATAGCATGAGAATATATTGGTCATAAAATACTTATTTTCAACAGAATTTTTATGTTTCCTCTGTGTATTTTTCTTCTCATTGATTGTTGTCTTGTGAAATAATTGAAATAGTACTGACATAAAGTGCTGGAATTTAAAATGTCTAATTTGATTTGTTGCCGAGTACAATTGATCGTGTCATCAGTTGACTCGACATTAACATTTTCTCGCAATTTGTCACACTAGGTCCTAGGGCGTTATAGGAAGGCGAGTGTTGAGGCAGGCTTGACAGGCTCTATGCTAGGCTCAGACAGGCCAGGCACAGCTCTAGGCTCGCAGTGTAGGAGCCAACTCCCTAGAACAGCTCCAACTCGAGGATACATTCCAAACCGAGCGACGAGAGTTAAGGCCTTCCTATGGTTTGGGTTAGCTGCTTCATCTGCTGGACGACTTTTGATCCGACCACACTAATCTTCAGATCACCAATTAGATGTTGCGTACAGCGTTACGTAGAGCGCTGTGGTACAATTGTACTCTAAGCCATCCAAATTAAAAGAACCAAGAGCTCTGGTTGTTTCATATTTAACCTTACAAAGATCTAAGAATGCCTTGACCTAAATCATTTGCTACATGGGGCTAATCATGTACAGGTGGGTTGCTAGTTAAGTAATTACTTGGGAATCATATCGTGACTAGTGTGGTTAGGAAGCAGATTTATGTTACACTTCATACGGTAGTCAATAATTGTTTGGATTATTATTCTATTCTGGGCCGAAGACCACCTTCTTCTGTCCGCGACTGATGCCAAGAATTTCTAAAATAAGCGTTTTGCGATCAATATTATTACCTCTCGTTAATAACCAACATTGGCACAACCAGGATTATATCCTTAATTCAATTAAATTAATTTACTACTAGGAACTAGATAGTGATAACAGATACGGGTGGTCTGATGCCTAGGTTTGAACTCGCTTTATGCTATACATTTCAGATGCGATGCGTTTTCTTTTGATTGTCACCTTTAATACGGTTCAGAGTACTGCCACTCGATTGCTGATTTTTGTGTGATCGGTGAAATAGTGTGAATTTTTTAATAATTGCGTCGTGTACCGCTATGTTGACTAATTGACTTCAATACCCACAGGTCAACCTTGAACAAGCTCGTCTTCAGTTCGACTGCAACCGTCTGTGATAACGCTGTGATATCTTAAGGATAATGAATAAGTCGATCTCATGCAATTCGCCAATATCAATTATACGCGAGTGTTGTTTGTACAACAAAGTTGTTATTCGTGCCAACAAGTTGATGAAGATTCTATTCATCGAAGTCCACTTTAGTGCGCTCTTTATTACGGTTGTTCCGAGTGAATTCATGTTTTTTCCTTGCTACTGAATCCGAATCCAATCTCGATTTTGCGGGCGTTATAAATATTTTTTCTTCGGGATAGTAGTAAACGCACACAGTGACTTCTCAGTCATTTTTATTATGCGGTAACTTGCTTCTATAGCTTGAAAGCATTGATTGCATCAGTATAACCTGAGCCATAAATACGTTTGTTAGGAATATATCCTACATCAGAAACTCTTTGGCGAGACGATAACTGTCCTAACTTGTACTTGAAAAATTTCTGATATTTTTTGGGTGGGGGGGGGGGCTGCGATACATATAGCATGAAGTACGTAAGCTACGTGGTGGACTTCTTGGCGAGTTTCATCAGCTCGTTTCCGTGTTATGCCGTTTGTATTTTTTATTAAATATCTTTTCAAAAAAATACAGTAGTTCATTTCGTATTCCATTTTGGAGTTAGTTAAGCCAACTGCTCTACTGGTGAGTAGTTTTGGGATTTTACGTTCCAATGGATGAGCGACCTGTTGTCTTATGTTCTGATGCTGTTGAAACCTGTCTTCATTCTAAAATTCTCGCGCTGTTTACTGTATTGCATTAGCGCTATGGTCGTGCGATAAATTTCGCGAGGTGCGGTGGTGAGAGACGGTCACTCGCACCCAGCTCCCGGATTCGAGTTCCACTGAGGACAAGTTCGTCCGGGGGGTCGCCTGCCGATGACCACCACTGCCCTAGATGTAATGGACCATCATGATTCCTGCCTTCCGGAACGTAGCCTTCAACACTTGGAGTCGTCCGTATCTAGGCCGTGGGTCGAACCAGCCCTCGGTCGAAGGACGATAAATTTTGAAACAGTACTACGCTATCTGAAACCTTACCTTAGATGCGGTAAACGTAAAATTACGCAATTTAACGATGCCCGGAAGTCATATTCGATTCGCGGCCTGGTGGTGAACGGCAGGTGGTGGTCAAGGCCGGAAGAGGACAAAGCTGAGTGGTGCACGGCTGATTGGTGTAGGTCCGGAGAGATCCAAGGCGTTCGATTCAGGGCTTATTAGTGCACGGCTGCGCTCCCCGTCCGGGTAGTTCAGCTCATGGCCAGCTAAGCCATTCGTCCAACTCTGGTTGATAAATGAGTACCTAGCTTGTCCAGGGTGTTGCGTAATACAGTAAAATGGTTCCGGCGGGTCTGTGAGCCAGTGATGGTCGTAACACTACCAGCGGCATTAGGTGCCCGGAAAAACTAAAGTAACACCCCCCCTCCCTAGTCGCCATTACAGGATGGACAATTACATGACCTGAATTTCGCTCCTTGTTAGGAATGATTTGAGACTGGAAAAAGTTATTGTCGAAATCTTCTGCCCTGTCGGTAACATTAGCTTTCTAAAATCTTGTGAGAGAACAGCATCATAACTGGTGTTTGAGATAAGTGAAAATAATGTACAACTGAACTTCGCAAATTTTTTAGTCAAACTCGATGTACCTCAATGGCCGGTAAAGATTCTTCGGTATCAAATAAATGCATTTTTCATTAGATATATGCGTGAAAAGCTTTTTGAAACTAAAAGTCGCACAAATTTAAAGTTTTTTTTTCATTGTTAGATGATATTGCAAACTTAGCATTAGCTATTTTTTCAAAGTCTTATCTCTCTGGATGATACTGGAATTCTTTGATCATAACGTTGCTATGTGACTTTTGTGTAGCAAGTTTCGTTTATTTTTTTATGATGAATTTGGAGGATATACTAATATGTCTTGAATAGGATTTTGTTAAAGTATGTCGGCGCTAAACTATTAAATCAAAACTTAGCTTACTGTTCCTTTTAAAAGAAAGCCTTAATTTTTGAATAAATACAAACGATCATTCACAAGATAAATTGGTATAAAGAAAGTTTTCTCTGGGAAAAATAAAACTGCCTGAATTTCTTGACGAACACTGTTTGGCAACACCTCTTCCCGCGTCCCTTATCGTGAGCTTGTAGTGGATCTGAGCTTGTTGGAATATATATCGGGAAATAATTGTTGGAATTTGGTATATACTACTGCAAGCATGGTGAAAGATGTAAGTACAAATTGTATTGAAGAATGTTTATTCAAATGAAATTATGATCTTTGGAATTTTTGTTACAGGTTCAAATTGTTCTGGTTAATTCAGGCTGACGAAAATGTAATGGCCGCTTGGCCGGGCCTCGTTTTTCGTGCTGGGATTGCTATAGTTGGCATAATGCATGTTTTAAAGTTTTTATAAACCTGAAGTATTTGAGGATTTCTTTATTATCTTGGAGGACGTTCATTATGTAGCTTTTAATTGTTGAAAAATTTCTACCAGTCCGAGTAGTAGCTAGCTAGACTGACGTGCGCGTCACTCATTGGCTTCAGCAATGGCGGCTGAATTCGCAGCGACCGCCGACCAGATTCTCATATTCTTCAGAAATTTGTTTCCTGTGTATGCCGTTCAGTTTTACTAATAAAACTGTAAATGTGATTTAGAAGAAAGGAAGCTCGTATAATTTTCAGTAATTTATTTCATTTTATAGAACATCCTATTTTCTCCATTATTGTTTTAACAAAATTTTTAATAAATATAAATTTTGTCTGTGTATCACCATTCATTAATGCACCATCAATTCAAACGTAGCTAGGTAATTAATGCCATGGGGGGCACACTGCAAAGTGTGCAGTGATTCTGTTAATTCTGTACCTATATTAAAAAAATGAAACGTAGCTAGGCCTACCTACATTTGTTGAAAACTTGAAATTGTAGCTACCTACTAATCAAAAATGTTACCTACTTTTTCTTTTTTTATTATTAGCCTCATATTGAGTAGCCTATATGTGCAAAGAAGAAAGTTTCCTTTGATTGTAATGAACAATGAATATTATGCAAGTGAAAAGGGGAAACGAATATTAGTATAAATTCACCAAATTCAGAATTGAACAGAATAATATCCAGTTTCATGGTTTTGGCAGCATAAAAAATGTGAAGTTTATATAGCCTATACATATGGAAAAGTGTTAATGAAGGGGGGGGGGTTACAATATAAAATTTGCTAATGGCTAACTTATAAAAAAAATCTCCACACAATAAAACTTGAACATAAACAGTAACAATAACATTGACTATGGTTGAATGAGTGACAATGCTATTGCCTAGGTACTTAATTTCATGGTGATGCATAGTGGCAAACCAGTGATTTTTTAGAATCAGTTCATTTTCAATTTTCACATCTACTCAAGATTTAAACAAATATCTTATGTATGATGATACTGGTATCCATGATACTTTGCTGGTCTACTTATATTACTTGAAATTAAACTTGAAGGAGAGTCTAAAAAAAAACAAAGTCATAGTAACAGTAAAATCATCCTGGGCAATCAAAAATATGCAAAAAATTCTGAACTCTGATATATGAACTGAAATAGTAACAAGAAGACCCTGCAATATCACTGAATGCTACTTTTGCATCACTGAACGCCATTGCCATTCACATGGGCATTTGACTTGAAGATTGTCTTTTTTTAACGTCCATTGTTGTTATGTGGCTATTGACTGAGCTCTGAAATTTATAGAGCATGCTCAAAGAACTGTTAACTTGTTATCTCACTATCTCTCCATCATTGTCCAATAAAATATCTCAAAGTTTTAAGATGTAATCTTTATAATTGAAATTTTATTATTTGTTTATAAATGAAAGTTGCTCATATAATGCTGCCAGTTGGGTGGGACTTTTAAAACTACATGCCTCATTTTAGCTGAAGAAAAAACTACCTGTCCACCATTCTGGTTGTTTTGTTGTGGTCTGTGCTTGGTTTGTGCACATACCTACTCACATAGCATATCAAATAACCAAACTATGAAAGGCTGGACCCAATCTAGTGGTGGGTGGAATTCCAGATATTGTTGGTGAAATGTTAAGATCAATCCAGCATTCCAGCTGTATCACTTGCTGAAAGCAAGATATATTTTTGAAGACTAAGCTGAAATATATGTAGTAAAGATCTAGTTTCATCCTTTATACCTCTAATCCACTTTCTGTACCCCTTAGCAGTTCTATAGGACATTACTTTCCTAATGACATTGCTCCTGAGCAGTGAGCACCCCACCACAGAGCCTGCAGTGTATGACAGTGTGCCTCAGTTGTGGGGTTAAGTTCTTATGTAGGTGGGATTTCCATTTACCTTCTCAGACTCTTGTGTGTGGGCAGCCACCATCACATGTAAATAACCCCTTTGAGTGTCCTTGTTTCTATTACTATTCATCTGTTGCTCATGGTCGTTTCACCTCTTTAAGCTGCTAACATTTCTTCTTTCTTACCAGCTTCAGGGGCTGGACACCCAAAACCTTCCACCCCTGTGTGGGTGATAAACTTTATAATTTCAGAAATTTTCAATAATTTAATCTAGACCTCATTTGTCCTGTCCGCCTTTCTCTCATTCCAGCTGAACATGAATCCAGGCTTACCCAACACTATTAAAGTGGCCAGTACAAGTAGAATATTGGACATAGCCAATCACAGTCTGGAGTGCATGACATCACAACCAACTACAGCCTGGAGATGGTCATTTTCTTATTTTTAAATATCCTAAAAAGTATACAAATTGGTTCAGTTGGAACTTGGATCAAAAGCCTACTATGCTGCATTCACTTTGTTATAAGATATTTAGATACCCCAATTTAGATACCCCTCATTTTAGAGAAACTAATCTGAGAAAAAACAGGTGGTTGAACTGGAATTGGAGAGAATCTTGAGGATAGTGTACCATGACATTTCTAGTGCAGGCTTAAAAAAAACTTCAGGTAGTTTTCAGGATTTTTATTAATTAAGTAGCATGAAAAATTAGAAAGAAAATTTGCTTTGTTGCAAAAAACAACCAAATAAGTTGCAAAAAAGTAAAGTTATTATAAATATTATATGTGTTATATCTTTCAAAATAATGTATGCCTTTCTTTTTTCTCTTTATGACAAGTATGATAAAATCTTGGTTGATTTCAATGCCAATATATTAATAAGAGACATTGTTTTGAGTGAATTGTATTGTTATGAATGAATGAATAAGTTACAAGAAAACATATCTAAGCACTCCACTCTCCTCATGTCAGCCTTTTTCATAGGCTTAATCTATGAAATTCATTTATAAGACTTGGTTGATTTTCATGAAAAATAATACTAAAAATAATATACGTTTAAAAATTACTTTTTAAAGACTACACTTCTAAAGAATCCAGTGTCTCCAATGTTAAAGATGTACAATGAATTTCTCATTTTATTTAAATATTAAAAAAATTAATTTTTCAATTTTTTTTAATTTTTCAATTTTTTTTAATTTTTCAATTTTTTTTCATAATTATTTATTCTGTTAACCCTTACGCCCTGAATTTCTGGGACAAAAATTGTAAAATTCACTTTTTCGGTTTTAAGTCTCACTTCGAAGCTGACATTCTGACCTATCCATGGTACCAAAGTCATCTCTGTACGTTGATTTATGCCTTGATGACAGTTTGTGAAATTGTTAGGGGTGGGGGAGTTCTTTCACATTTAATATAGGCAAAAATTACTGGTTGGGCACATAAATATGCAACCTGAAGACGCTGATCTTTAGTTACCCGGCTGCTGTCGTGTGGGATGGTGCTCATGCAGTCATTCCCACTATCCTTGACTGAATTTCGGCTCCAGTAATGTCTAGTCTTGCATCCATGTCACCTTGAATGCCTATTTCGAGGCGCTCGGGACTTTGTCGCGCTCTACTGAACATTCACACTTATTGTCACTGCAAACCTATTTCCTCCCAGAGTTTTTAAGCTACAGCAATGAGTAATAAACCGTTTGATTTGCAAATAAAAGATCTAGAGATTGGTTGAAGCTTTTTTTCAGTTTCATTAAAGTTTTGAAAATATTTTGAAAAAAGGGGAGGGGAAATTCAAAAGGGTGGGGGGAGAAAATTTTTTTTTGAAAAATGCCCACCCCACCCACAAAAATTAGAATTTTGAAAAACAGCAAGGACCAATCGATAGATATGGTCCTTACGCATCGAATGATATGCGTCTCGATGTTGTAGCTTGAAAATCATAGGAGGAGATAGATTTCTACAGTACCCCCTTTTTGGCAGTTTTCTAAGAATTTCATGTTTTGTCACTTTTTTTGAAAAATTCCTAGGAACAAAAAAGTCTTAGATTTATCTTTTACATATGTGTACTAAGTTTCATAATTATCTGTTAGTAAATAACCGAAATAGAATTTCCATAAGAAATTGGACATTGCCATTGGAAATTGGAAATTATATTTTGGTTATTTACTGACAGATAACTTTTAAACTTGGTTCACATATGTAAAAAATAAATCTAAGACTTTTTTTATTCATGTGAATTTTTCGAAAAAATGACAGAAAACGTGAAATTGTTGGAAAAGGTAGCTAGTCCCTGGTGTGATAAATTCGTCACGCCAGAGCGTAAAGGGTAAATTGATTCAAGCATTGCCTCTGACTTCACACAAGTGTGCAAAATTTTAGGTCAATTGGACAGGTAAAAGTTTGTCAAATATCAGTTATAAGATTTGTAGGTGACAAAATTATTTTTTCAATTTTTAATATTGAAAAAAAAAATATATTTTTAAAATCATTTATTTTGTCATTTGATTCTTGCATTGTCTCCAACATTACGCAAGTGTGCAAAATTTCAGATTGATTGGATAAGTAGAAGTGTGAAAATTTTTTATTATAAGATTTGTAGCAGACAGACAGACAAACAACAAACAAGAAGTGAAGTTAAAGAGAAATGTTATAAAAATAAGGTAGTAGTTTCATAAAGTATACCTAATAGGGATGGTCTTAACCCAGACTTTTTTACTGGCAACTAGTCATTACCATGGAAATAGTCATTAAGACAATATTTCTTCATACCCTAACCCCAACTTGTCTCCTTTACACTCCAGTCATTTTTGTGATTTGTGTGGTTCTCCATTCATCGTCCAATTTTCGTCATTGTTGTTTAGAGTTTTGGAGTTTGGGTAACTTCTTGGAAGTTTCTCTATCTGCAATATAAAATTCCAACTTTGGTCCTAGAAAGGAAAAACAACTTGACCCTTTACCGCTGTATGTCACTCTCCTGGAACATAACTTTCAACTTGAATTGTTCAAAAACTATCGGGTGTAGCAACCTGAGGACGTTTTTTATATGCAACCGAGAACATTTTAAAGATGTACACATGGCAACCATCAGTGCAAGTCCTTATGCGCTCACTAGAATGTATCCTTTTTTAAGAAGTAGGCTTGTGACAATATTGCTACGGTTACTCGTGTCAGGTGGTCGAGGGTTAAACTGTGAACCAAGTTTGCTGTTTAGCTAAATAAAGGTTTTATAATACTACAAAACAAGTAAAGTGATTAGAAAATGAAAAAATTGAACCCTTCAGGCATTATTTTGCATTTTTCTTGCATGATTTTGTTAGCTAATTAATAGTAAATGGCAAAAAAGTTATCTCTTTAAGAAATCTTTATTAGTTATAGGCTCATGTTTTAGTAACAAAAGACCACTAAATGAGATGAAATAGGTAAATATGAGTTGCATGTGAATTTTGGAAAGAAAATCTTTATATTAACATTAAATTAAGATAAAAACCCAGTCCATCTCTGGCTTGTTGAGCAAAGATCCCCATGATAATGAATTCGGTCAAGACAGTCGTGTCTCCCAAATAGCACTCTTTCTCCCATTTTATCCAGTAAATCCTACTAGTTGTAAATTTTCTATTTTTTGATTGGGGCTAATGCATGTTTGAGATGAATGTTGTTCAGAACACGAGCATGTTGAAGGGATCTGATGTATGTATAAGGATATGATGTATAATGATATGATGTATGATGATATGATGTATGATGATGATATGATGATTTTCTATTTGCAGCAAGAGCCCGAGCACTTGTGCAAACTTTTCATTGGTGGGCTCGACTACCGCACCACAGATGATTCGCTCAAGGCTCACTTTGAGCAATATGGCGAGATTGTTGACGTCATCGTCATGAAGGACCCCCAGACCAAGCGCTCACGCGGCTTTGGATTTGTGGCTTTCTCCCAGTCTTATATGGTTGATGAAGCCCAGAAGAACAGACCTCATGTAATTGATGGACGCACGGTTGATACTAAGCGTGCTATTCCCAGGGACGAGATTTCCCGAGGAGATGGCAGTCAAGTGAAGAAACTCTTTGTTGGAGGCATCAAGGATGCAACTGAAGACGTAAGTGATTGCAGTTACTTTTGTTGTATCTTAGTTCAGAACAATGAATGGATCATAACTATAATTGATAGTGTTTTTAAGTACATTGCCCTTGTTGTTACCCATGCTCTAATTATGTAAACAAGTTAGTGTTACTATCTCAGCCCTTTGAAATATTAGTTTACAAGTTTTGCAGTATGTATTTTTTTTCAATGAAGACAACCGAAGACTATTATTGACTTCTACTGCATGAAAGAAAACTAGTTGGCAACTCGTAACTATTTTACAGGACCTACGAGATGTGTTCTGTCAATTCGGAGAAGTGATGAGTGTAAGCATCCCCACTGAGAGGGAGACTGGTAAGAAGAGAGGCTTTGCATTCATCGAATTCTCTGATTCTGATGCTGCCGACAAAGCTGCTCTTCAGAAGGAGATCATGATCGGTGACGCGTGCGTTGACGTCAAGAAGGCCCGTGACAAGAACGACATGTCTCGCCGTGGCGGTCGTGGTGGTGGAGGTGGCGGTGGATGGGGTGGCGGACGCGATAGCTACGGCCAAGGATCTGGAGGTTGGGGAGGTGAGGCTTAATGCTTCATTTTCGTTATTTGTTCTACTCTTACAATTGCTTAGTGTTAGCGTTTAATGATTGGATGATATCATGCAACTATTATGTTCTTTGCGACCAGTAATGATTGGTTGGTTATATATGTGATACGCATTTTTGTCAGTACTGTAGCAAAAGCTTGTTCCACAAAATGCCCTTACCTGGGTATATCTTATGTGTTTAAGTGTAACTGGTGTTGTAGATTTAGATTAAATTTATTTTTTAGAAACGGGTTTTGCAAATAAAAGGAATCATTGCGAAATAATCGACTACTTGCTAATTAATTTGGTCTTCATTTGGGTTTTATTCCTGGTCGCGCTTTTTGGCAGTTTCTTTTATCGGCTCTTTTTTGGCAGATATTCAGCAGCCTGACTGATATTGGAATTAATTTAAAGCTTAAATACGAATTAATTTGTAACAAGAACATCTCGTTTTTTATGCTTCCTTTGCGACTTAGTTAAATTCTTCTAAAGTTTAATCGATAGTGGGTTATTGAATGGAATTCTGAAATATAGAATGGATGACGCCTTGGCCAGAAGAATGGTCTGCAGTGCCAAACTACGAAGCACTGAATTGTTAGCTAGTCTCCTCCATATGGGCGTCCATACAGGAAGAGGTCATCATTACTCGAACGAACTGCTTCTAGGAACAAGAGGTTAAAAGTTAGTCGCACGCGCGACAGTCGAGTATGTCGCACGCTATTAATCGAGTTTGGTGTGCATCGTGCAGGCAGCTCAGGAGGATGGGGCGGCCAGGGTGGTTACGGTGGATCGGGAGGTTATGGAGGTGAGCAGAGCCTTTCTAGTCTGCTGGTGGCTGGGATTTAAGCTGTATCTTTCATCGTTGCCGTGGTCACTTAAATTAATTGCATCAGACGGGCATGATGACGATCAATAAAGCATTAATGCTAAGAAATAATGCGATTTTGTGGGCATTCGTCTTGTGCCGATCGATGCGCTCCAAGAACTTGTTAGGTTTCCTCGTGATTTTCACCCAAAGGCTGGAAAAACGGGTAGTTTCAATGTAGTTTCTTCCGTAGCATATTCTCCCCGTCTTGTGTTGCTGAACCGAGCCTTTTTCTTTTTGGTCGAAAGTGCACTGGATTCTATATCTTAATTTATTTATTTTTTGTTCTCACTTGAAATTTCATCGATTTTTGCCTTATTTCCTTGGGTATTTGTTTATTCAGGTTTTACGTCGTTACTAATAAGATGCAACACGTTCTTGTATGAATATTGATTCTGGTGTATCAGGACAAGGAAGTTATGGTGGCTACGGTGGTGGCCAGAGTGGCTACGGTGGAAGCAGCTATGGCCAGCAGAGCGGTCAAAGCTGGGGAGGACAAGGGGGCGGATCCTCAAGCTGGGGAGGCTATGGGGACAGCAGCGGAGGCAGCTGGGGTGGCCAGCAGACTGATTTCGGCAACAACTACGGCCAGTCATATGCCGGGGGCCCCACCAGAGGACAGGGTAGCTACCAGAGCTCCCGACCTGCTCCTTACAGCAGTCAGTTTCCCAACGCCCCTGAAATACTGTAGTTTATCTCTAAATTATAAGATATCTCTAGTGTGTTACTTGGTAAAATTGAGCATTATGGTGACACTAATCTAAGAATTGTCTCGTGAGTTATATTTCGTGTAGTGCCAAATCCTCGAATTTTACCATTTTCCTAGGAGAACTTGAAATAAAATTGATTAAGATCGGTTAGCTATGTTGAACGACTTCACAGAATTGCAATCGCATGCTTTCTATCCCTCATGGATTTACTTGCTTCCGTTTCAAACATAGAGGTTGTCTCTCGAGTTTAGTAGCCTTACGTCTCAAACACATTGACTAATGTAATAACTATTTACGCAGGTGGCAGTCAGGGAAGCTACGGCGTCTCGAGTGGCGGCTCCGGTGGCGGCGGTGGCTACGGCAGTGGATACGGCGCTGGTAGCAAGCGGTATTAAAAGTATTCCGCTTCCACCACGTCTCAAACTCCATCAAGATCCCTCTATAGTTTTAGGTGAGTCATGATTGTTGTCAAACTCGACAATTTTATGATATATTAATGAAGAATCTATTAAATTGAGTCATGTGAAATACTCCAGAAGATTGCTTGCGTGATTTTATGTTCGTTTGTTTTAATGCTGTATTTTTTTCTCGCAATTTGTCACACTAGGTCCTAGGGCGTTATAGGAAGGCGAGTGTTGAGGCAGGCTTGACAGGCTCTATGCTAGGCTCAGACAGGCCAGGCACAGCTCTAGGCTCGCAGTGTAGGAGCCAACTCCCTAGAACAGCTCCAACTCGAGGATACATTCCAAACCGAGCGACTAGACGCTCGCTCAAGTCCAACTCTACTGCTACTTCAACTCCCGCCTTCAGGATGTGGCACTCTAATTCAACATTTTTTTGACTGCATCTCATATGTACAATATCTACATAATGTCAAATGATGCGTTCTTATTTAACTAAATTCTAATGATCCGATGTTCTTCATTAAATAGCGACTAAGTGTGGCTGTTTCTTCAACCTTTAGTCATAACATACAGAGAGTACGAGAAACCTCTGTTGTGCGGTACACTTCATGTACGCTCATCATGACATTCAAAGGGATACATTTTATCAATGGGCGAAGGAATAATTCAAACGGTTAAGCTTGTTACTGCTCTCTTGGTAAATCTAAAGAAATTAATGTGATTAGATCTTGGTTAAATCAACTTGTGGTCCATAAATGATCATGGATTTTTTAATGCATTAAAAAGTGACGAACTACAAACGAGAGTTACGTTGTTAGTACCTATTATGAAAACGACTCGTTCTACGCAAACTGCCCTATATTTTGTAAATGGGCAGTGGGATATGTCCCTCTCGTCAGTACGTTTTGCTTTAAATTCAAATTTCGAGGAAAGGAATTTTTTCGAACCATATCACTTTCAAAATCAGTGTCCTAAAAATGTTCATATGACGGAAATTGTAAGCGACGATCTTTGATCGAAGCCGTTATTTTTGAAAGAATACTGTTGCTTGTTCCCGCACTTCACCCGGCTTCTGTATGTACATTTCCCATGTTATGTATGGAAAATGTTATTTGCTGCAGAATTCAGGATGTGATTTTGCCGTTGGAAGTCTAGGATACCACGTGGACACTCCAAACTAGTGCTCGGCTAACAGAGGACTAGTAGCAACTATTTCTAGCATGCTGAACTATCTAGAAATGCTATAGCGTTGGTTTGGAGCTCTTCTAGGATCGACAGTAGGTAAGCCAAAGACGTACCGAATAATATATTTTTATGAAAATCGTATCTTATGCTTATCTCCGAATGGAATATGATGTTTTGATCGATAGAAAAGCATTTAAAGATCTTCTCTTCTGTACCTTATAACGAAACTTTTCATTCGTTACTTCAGTTCATGAAATCATGGGGTTTGCATTGAGGCACAATCTACTGCTGCTGGCGGGTTTAATGTGAAGAGTTGAGATAACGCATCATTTCTGGCCTGATCGCTTCACTCTTGTTTATGCAGATAACTATTTCTAACTCGAAAACTTTTGGTTCGTTCTCGTTTTGAGCAATGAAATTCTTTAAGGACATTTCCCCGAGTGTCCAAAGGTGTTTCTAAATTATATAAGAAAAGTTTCCCTGCAGCCGTTTAAAGCGGTTCTGTGAACGAATTGGTTATTTTTTTTACATTTTGAGAGGCATGATGTTGAAGCTGTTTTATTGACAACACGAGCATGAAAAATTTTTAATTTGTTTGCCATTTGGTTTTTGAATGCTTATTTTACAGAAAGGTTAGATCACTGAGAACGTTCCTTGGCAACCAAAACTTGAGTTCAAATACCTATTAAATATCTGCGAAGCTTCTTTTTCGTCTTTAACTCAATTCTTCGAAATATTCTGCCTGAGTAATGCAACATTGAGAGAAAAAAAAATCTGCGTTTGCCTGCTACAAACAGTTCATTGCTCGAATGGGTGAAAACTTTGAGGTGAAATAAAATGTTGTATTTGTTTAGTATTTTATCCATCTACATTCCCATCCCGTTATTCCTGGCTATTTCTAACCGTTCCATTGTGATGTGTTGCAGAGGAGAAACCAGTGGGCCGCAACTTGCTCGATCCCTCGAAAGATCGACCACCTGTGCCTCTGCTAATCATCGGGACTGGACGTTGCTCAAGTGAGCATCGAATGGACGTCCTGCTGAAGGTATCCCTCCAGAACGTCCCCTATCGCTCGTGCCAAGTGAAGCGTGCGCGGACAATGGAGCCTAAAAATCTGGCCGCGAGAAGAGCTCGACGAAACAATTATTTGGCACGAAACCAAGTGAGCTATTTGATCACCATTGAACGAACACTCGCGCCTGGTTCGTTATTACTTATACAAGCGTTCGAAAAGGCAGAAACGCCTAAAAGGGCAACGCAGTGAAACCGGGCTCACTGAAGGGTAGTCGTTACATCCCCTCAATCTCGTTACCCAACAACCAGATTTCTGTCGCTGATGTGTACATGGGAAACAGGCGGTTTTCAGGTAGCCGATGAAAGGCAAGTGATCGGCCAGAGCTTGATGGTTTTCGAGTGCTGGCCATCTCTTTCCACTTGCTCCCGCCCACAATATAAACCAGTCCTCGGCTGAAAATGACAGGTTGTCAACACATTCTTTAATGCCAGGCCCTTCTAAAAGATTTAGTTAGAACACCATGTTTGGAACAAATCGTTTTCTTGCCAACAAATATAAAATGAATGTTGATTGCGAAATACCCGTTTAACTTACTAGCTGAGAATATAACACTGTTTTAGACTGATTCCCACTGCAATAATTGTTTTTTAAGATTATCTTATAGTTTATTGCCATCACAAAAACATGAAATAGCTCGGGTAGCATGAAAAATTTCTGAAGTTTATCTCGTACAAGGGTGGATTTACGAGCGCTTAACTTGGTGGAAACATTTCAAAAACGAGTAGCATATCTTCTTGCTCACGGCTGAAAATCGCCCTCTTTATTCGTATTACTCACTCTCCGGTAAAGCTATACGGCAGGCGTTAAGATTGATGTGCCAACTTGAAAGTAGGTATTGCTTCTGTTGAATTTATCTCGAGTTTGAGGAATTTTGACAGTAATGAGTGATGGCAAACGAGGTTTCAAAGGTTGTGGCACTTCAATTACAGGAAAGCGTTGCTAGAGTGTCAAGAAGAGCTGTCAGAAGTTTCGGGTCGCAGTTCAGGTAAGAAAATGCTAATCAAACGGTATGTGGAGAAATATAATATTTATGCACATGAAGTCTATCATTCCGCTATTATCGTCGATGTGTATCTTATTGAAGGTAATGCGAGAGCCTCCATTCGCATTACTGGAAATTCTCAATGACACAAGCCTTCTTGGAATGTATATTAAATGCGTTACTCGATTTTTGTGTGGCTTGCAAACGACGAACTAAGGTGTTTACATATATAACAGGTGCACGCGGCCAAGCCTAGTACATGCTTGCATCGATTTACCACATGATGTATCGGGATTGAAGTGATAAACCTCGACAACTGTTGAATTCATTCCCTTGTTTGAGCCAGAACCACGAGACGGAAACTAGTAGGGTGAGAAAAGACAACTACGCACCGACCGTTGTATATCAGTCTGCGTGACAGGCGTACTGATGCACAGCTGCAATCGGCTACGTAGTTCACATTATTTTATTGTACGTATATTGATTACCTGACTAGGCGAGTTTCAGCCACATTACTTCTCTTCGTTGTACGAGGAAATAGAATTATTCATGCTGAATTAATTGAAAACAATGAGTAAGAAAACTTTTAAATTCTTGTCATTAGCAGAAATGATAATCCAAGTTTTTCCATGGAAAGACATGTATTGAGCCCACCATGTGCCCGTTGCCGAAGACCACCACTGCCCTGGATGTAATGGACCATCAAGATTCCTGCCTTCCGGAACGTAGCCTTCAACACTTCAAGCCATCCGTATCGAAGCCGTGGGTCGAACCAGCCCTCGGTCGAACGGCCACTTGTCGAAGGACGATAAATTTTGGAACAGAACTATGCTATCTGAAACCTAACCTAGGATGCGGTGAACGTAAAATTACGTAATTTAACGATGCCCGGAAGTCATATTCGATTTGCGGCCTTGTGGTGCACGGCAGGTGGTGGTCAAGGCCGGAAGACGACAAAGCCGAGTGGTGCACGGCTGATTGGTGTAGGTCCGGAGAGATCCAAGGCGTTCGATTCAGGGCTTATTGGAGCACAAAATTGGTGGTGCACGGCTGCGTTCCCCCCGTTGCCCCACTAGGTATCATTTCAATTTATATCGTGTCAACATTTTATTATAAAAGCTAACAGTCCAAACTTGAACTCAAAATTATCCCTATGTATACTGCCAAAATGAAATTCACAGTACTTTCAAAGCTTCATATACAGTAATCTCGAAGTTTTATTCCCAGTAATCGCAAAGTTTATTATAATGAATTTCCTCCCTTGTTCTCGCACAAATTGGGCAGATAAACGATACGACATTTGGTCGATTCCGCGTTCTGCCTGGAGACCGCATTATGCGCTAGAAAGGAAAATGAAGAGGAGTTTCGCAGATCATCAATATTGCCCGCCGAAGCTATTACGCCGCTGTCGATATGAGCTTTAATCATTTGATCCTATTGTTCAAGTTTAGATGGATATTTCTTTAATATCTTGTACAACGAGCGAACAATTTTTTCCGCGAGACCGAAATTATTGGAAAGCATATGCTTGACGCTATCGTTCCACAAGGCAGGCACAATGATCCGCCCGTCGAAATATCGAGAATTATTCTTCATTACATATTCCATAATTTTACGGTTTTGCTCACTGCAATCAGAATTATTGTGCTCATCGGCGTCATCTAGGTAATCAGCGCAAGCACGCTCCAGGACCGCTCCTGTAGCCTGCTCCTATTCTGTAGCCGAATAAAAACTACACGAGCTGAAGTCCTGGGGCTCTAGTTAAACTATAGAATCAATTTTGCGCATAAAGGTTTTGTATAAAACCTTAGAGCGACCTCCTTTTTCAGTGGAAGGAGAGTTTAATCCACAACAGTTGAAGATGGAAAAAAAACGTCGAAGATTAAAGTATTTATTCTTTCTGAACAGTGTTCATGGGAACACCACAAAATTAATTTTTCGAATAGTAAACTGGATCGAGCTGCTGCCCGGTGGAAGTCCTCGGAAATCGGGAGCAAGAGTGCGCAATGCTACCTGGCCAGCGCAAGCCAGCCAGGTAGCACAGAGAAACTGACGCGCTAAGTTCCGTGCCGCCCATCCTATCAAAACAAATGCCAACTGATCTGAATTAAACCAAAACCAATTTATGTGATGAAAATTTAGCGCACGCCGAATATCGGGGTCCAAATATAGTCAAGTGCTTAAATTTACGGACCTAGCAGCTATGCTCTAAAAATTAGAAGTCATCTTAAAATAAGAGATTTATAGATCAAATTGCTTTCTAAGGAATATATATTCAGCTGGAAGACAAGACGGGTTTTATTATTTGGGTCGAGAATAGTGGTGAAGGGGAGACGGTTAACCATAATGGAAACCGGCCGGAGCTACAAGCCACCACAACACCCTGAGCTTAAGTGACGGGCAACCAACCTGCAGCATCCGGTCCTCTCCTCAGCTCTCGCAGAGACCCGTCCTCCGTGAGAAGACGAGCTGATGCCGCAGCCCCCCGATCGTCCCAACACCTCGAGGCCGCCACCTCAGTGAGACGCACGCTGAAGGTCTCACTCCATAACGTCGTAATGGAGCGAGACCTTCAGTCGTAATGAATCGTTCACTCGTAATGAATCGGCCGTCGTAATGAATCGGCCGTCGTAATGAATCTGTCTGCTGGGCTGCTTCTGAATCTGACTAGGTGTTTGCGTTTAGCTTCTATCTTCAAAGGTGGGTTTGAAGAAATGCGGAAGGCCGCTTACACCATAGCAAGAAATGTTGGGAAACTGTAGCCGGCCAAATAAACTTACAACTAACTCAGACCCAAACGATTAACTTCCAACTGGAAATATCTTGGTCAAGATAATTCTATACAGGTTTTCACCAGGTGCAGGTGTGGTAAATTACGCCTCAATACGGCAACGTCTCCAGCCAGCATTATTCCAAGTGAACAATAATACACCAGCGACAACTAAGAGGAATTACCAAAACTACACGAACGCACTGGCAAAACTTGAGCTAAATCAACGCCAAGCAGCATGTCAACGATACCCGGGTCCGAGAGTACATCCGATGTGCGAGAGTACTTTTACGCTCATTGGCTTTAGTAACTAATTCCTCTAAACCACAAGTTTTTACTCAAGTAGGGATCACCGAGATAGGATAAATCAAAACATTAGAAAATACTTCTTTTTAAATTAAACCGAACGATAACTAGATGAAACATTTTTCAGGAATTTTTTTCAAAATAACTAACTATGGAAAACTCTGGCTAAGTGAGTTAGTATTCACCGCATCAAACAGTTCAGTCTCGGAGCTAGTGCCAGTAACCATGACAGAACTCGTAGTTGTTACACACAGGTGTTCCTGCTCTGATGTGATGGGGTGGCTCGATGGGATGGCGCACTGAGAAGAGAACGGGCCCGCGTCGCCCTATGGAAAATTATGAAATTTATTATGAATAATTGGAAATCGTAAACATTTTTGTGTGAGAAAAGAACATGCAAGTGCCTAATTTTACAATAATGATCTCGGCACAAATAATAGCAGTTTATATAACAATAATTATAGTGTTTACTGAGTTTCCGATGTTACACATCTACAATGAATTGCTAATTTAATTTACAGCAGTAAACAAGTGGGCTGACTCACCCTTGAGCTGGCAACATTAAACATGTTGCCAGCTGTTGCCTGTGGTTTCCCGGCGTGCCACTCGGTGCCTTGTGAGTGGCATGCCGTCATCCCCAACCACGACTCCTGCGTCAATGATTCGCCCTACAACACAAATCAAATTCTATAACTTTTTTGCAAACACCGAGCCTCAAAATCTACCGTCAACCGTTGTAATAAGGGACGGGTGGGTTAAATCGGGACAGTTTTCAGTAATTTCGTAGAAATTTTGTAGCAGCTAAACTAATTATATTATATTATATTGCAAAACTAAAAATAGTGGCATAAAGTTTAACATTTTTCCTATCTATATGTAGCACAAAGCAGGTTAATAATCATATATACTACGTCTAGAAAATCCCTGAAAAAAGCGTGAAAAGTGAGACTTTGGAAAAGTACCTCTGCTAAGATCTGTAGCAAAAAAAAAGTTTACTTGCAAAATAGTTGCACACAGGTGTTGGCTTAAAAAAACTTGGTTGACGGAATTTGCGTAGCTCAATAAAAAAAATGGCGGCCATTTCCGCAAGACCTTAGCAGGTGTCCCCAATAAGGGACACCCCTAAAAACGCATTTACAGTAGAGCCTCGGTTAGCAAGTGCTCCAGTTAACAAAAAATTCGATTAACAACAAAGAATTTTGATTACATTTACCACGCTAAGAGAAAATAATTCACTTAACGAATAATTAATGCATCATCGGTCATCACAAAATTGTGCATAGAATTTCATAGAATTGTGCACCGGGCAGCAGTTAATCAAAGAAAGTAGTTTATTTCTGCCTCCCACCTGCATATGGTGAACGGAAACCTCCGATCGCTGCTGCTGCTGCTGCTGCAAGAGAGGTTGCCCGGTATGGGTAGGCAGAGGAACGCGTTCTTGCGAGTTGATAGAGACGCAGTCGATATTCCTCTTCACAGAACTTCTAGACGCGATGCTTCCTCCCATTGCTGCATCGGTCTCAAGTTCGACGCAAATCGTGCAGTCCGTATCGTAACACCCCCTCCAGTGTTTCGTCACACTAATGGAGGGAGGGCAGAGGGGGTGCAGGCAATTCTTACCTGCCGTACACATGACGAGGTGGCACGAGATGTTCTTCATTGTCGGGCAGGCAGGTACGACGCAGTGGAACTGATTAGGAATAAGAATATAAATTATACGATGATTAGGAATAAGAATAAAAACTATAGGATGATTAGGAATAAGAATAAAAACTATAGGATGATTAGGAATAAGAATATAAATTATACATGAAGAATGTTTGATAGGATATACCTACGAGACCAAAACTGAGGGTCGTGGAGTGTCAGTGTACAACCTTACTATTCACGGAACAGTGAAGCCTTTTGGGAGACAAGAATTGTGGTGTTCGTTACTTTCGATAATTAAAATCCCTAGTTACGACGTCCCTTCAGAAGCAACCAGCCAGGCGTCGATTTTCATCACAGGTGATAATATTCTCACACTAAACCCAGAAAGAAGAAAATAATTCTACTCAGAAAAAAAGTCACCTGACTGCTATTCCCACTGCTCTGCACCGGGAGTCGGCACGTGTGAGCGTGCTTCATGAGCCTCAACAGTCGCTGCTGCTGTTGGACCTTAGAAGCTTCTGGTGTTAGCGCTGAACTGGAATTTCCCTGCATTAATCATATATATTAATATGGATACAAATCCATCAATGAATGGCAACCAGGGTTGCACTTGGTAGCTGCCCACCTACCCACCTGGGCCATTAAACAAGTGTCATGAAAATTCACGACTTTGAATAAGAGGCTAAAAGAACACAAATCTTAAAAGACTAAACAAAAGGCTGGTAACGAAAAAAAAATCGATCCTTCTAGGTATGTACATTTTTATAATAATGAGAGAATTTTCTGCTTAAGGGTATTTTAATATTTTCTAGAATACTAGGTTTTTTTTAAGAACATAATTTTTAATAATTTAGCATAATTTGCAATTCAATTTAGCATAATTACCGGAAATTGCTGTTTCAACTGCTCAAGAATAATCATTTGCGAGACTAAATCTTCGGGAGACGGCTGCGGCTGCTGCCAGAAACCTGCCAATAAAAAGCCCACTTACTATTTACTCACTATTGGGCAATTAAAAAAACCATTTATAAAAAATATTAACATTTTTTATCATACTACTATGAACTATTATTATTTATATTATCATACAGTACTAGGTAATTAAATTAACACTTCTTTACTTACTACTCATGGTGCCAAGCTCGCTCTAGTAGCTGCAAGTGAAAGTCCTGAAAGAGAAAAGCACTTGTGAGTACATAAAATAATGATAACATTGTAGCTGTCTTTGTTAATCACACCCCACAAGTGGTCCTATCTTACCCCACAAATGGTCCTCTCTTACCCCATAGTTAGGCGGTAAGGAAGAAGAGTGCGTTTGGGGGGCGGTAGGGGAGGGCAGCAGTACGAAGTCAAAGTCAGAAGTTCCAACGTTTGTTTGACGATTTGTACACAACACGTGCAGCACATCATGACTCCCAGCGATGGTTTTTTTCACCCAGATCTGATTTTTTAACCTCTCTTGGGTTTTCGTCTCGGGCAGATTAAAGGCCGGTCTCACGGCCAATTTACAAATTCAATGACCAAGGAATATCTCTCAAACTAATGAACTAACTCGATGAAACTTGGTACACGTATTCATTAGGACCTAACGGTAATATTTAGCTCGTGATTTTTTTTTTAATTTTGCCTTCATTTGTTTTTGCCATAGTTATATGGCAATCCGGGCCGACATTCACAGTGATCAAGGAATTTCTTCCAGGGCCGAATATAAGGAAGTGTGAAATCAAGAATGACGGTGAAATGAAAAAAAAAAATTTCGCAAACGAAGGTAAAATCGATAATATTTTAGAAGCTAATAAGTCACCGTTTGGTAGTTATGAATGTATATTCAAAATTTCGTTCAAATCTATTCAGTACTTTGTAAGAAATTCTTTGATCACTGCGAATATCGGCCTTTATCGCAATATAACTCACGAATGAAGGTGAAATTCGTAGTTAGAAAGTTTTTACGAGCTAAAAATCACCGTTAGGTTCTGATGAATACATGTTACAAGTTTCATTGAGCTGCGTTCATTAGTTTGGGAGATATCACTTGATAATTGAATTTGGAGATTGGTCGTGCGACCGGCCACGAGTCCGGCCGTAAATTTGCCCGAGACGTCCCAGGTTTCTAGTGCTGAGACAGTTAAAACAGCTTAAAAACATATTGGTTCACTAAATGGGGTTCTATTTGTAAAATACTAATTAGTGTTTAACCTTTATCTTTTAAAATCGCAGCGTACTAAATTTCAAAAAGAGGCGTATGTTTTTATATGTGTCTGTGGGGGGCGCTAGAAATTCACTAGGGAGCCAAAGGGGGCGCCTGCCTGGAAAAGTTTGGGAACCACTGGTTTATAGGTATAACAATACCTAACAATAATAGTAATAATACAATACACGAATGAAATAATACAATACATGTGACTTGATGGATACAATACATAAATCAAGTCACGAAAAATTCACGAATCGGCAACAGGCCATGGCCTATTTCTTCAGTGCCGACACTTCTATTCTATGACATTTCCGGGTTATTTCTGACTACCGTTTATACTTACAAGACAAACTATAAAGAATGTCAACTATATCTATTCCAGATTCAGAATATAAACATATGATGTTGCCATAAGAATGTGGAGAAAATTTCTTCTAAAATAAAGTTCTAGATTTCTAACTTTCACCAAATTTCCGTATCAGGAAAAATAATTATTTATTGATGGATAATTAAACACGTACTGAGTATTTTGTCTGTTCTTCAAGCAAATCTGTTCACTATTGAAGTAATTATGAGTGTCTCGGTTGATCAAATAATACGTTTATTGGTTTTAATTAAAAACTAATTTATATAAAAATCTGTAATAATTCCTGCGGCAGCGTATCGATAATAAATACTCACATTCCAAAATTCAAACAAATCTGTTCACTATTGAAAGAATTATGAGTGTCTCAGTTGATCAAAAAATACGTTTATTGGTTTTAATTAAAAATTAATTTATGTATAAATCTAATAATTCCTGCGGCAGAGTATCGATAATAAATACTAACATTCCAAAATTCAAGCAAATCCGCAGGTCTCGGACAAATTTACGGCCGGACCCGCGGCCGGTCTCGCGGCCGGAAAGGTTTTCTTTGTGTTTTTATGGGTTTTCTAGGTTTTTTTGTGTTTGGAACCTGTTCCTAACTGGACCTAACCTGCGAGGTTTTCGCTGATTGGCTAGGTTTTTTCTATGTTTGGAGTCCTGCGGCCGCGAGACCGGCCGCGGGTCCGGCCGTAAATTTGTCCGAGACGTCAAATCCGCTCAGTATTGAAGGACTTATGAGTGGTTCAGTTGCACGAGTCCGCAGGCGGGTCCGTAAAAGTGTCGATTCCTCCACCGCGCACGGAAGACCTAACGGCCTTGTCAGTGTTTCAATTGCGCAAGCGATCAATTGAGATTTTTGACAGATACACAAATTTTTTTTTGCTTTTTTAACATTTCACTTGTGTTTTAGTTGCGTATAGTAGCGTATTATACGTATAATGGACAATACAATTAGACGGAGAAATACATCAACAATTCCAGGAATTGACGTGATTTCGTCAATGGTTGCCAATGGTTGGCCATCATACTGGTTCCTCGGCAGTTGACACAGCCAAATTACTCAAAAATTTCAAATGATGAATGAATACCATAAAATTTTCCGATAAAGTCATAAACATATTAGATTTTAAAATTAAATTCTCAATTCGTAACATTTGGTCAGTTAAAGATTTTGGTTTTTCTGATTTTGATTCTCTAAGCTAAATGTTTGCCGAAACCATGGCATTTTGTTTATACCTTGAGTTAAACAACTTATCTTCATTTGGAAATGATTTTTACTGATATCAAATTGGTATAACAATTGATGTCGGCGTTGTTTCTGTTCCCTCTAATATGACTTTTAATACACAAAAATTTCCAAGCAGCATTCACGGAATTTTACTTCATGTTGAGCAGGCGCTGACGCTGCGTATCATCGATACGTACGTCAAGTCATTAGATATAGTAGAAAATAAACTATATAATTTAAAAAACTTTTAAAAACAACGTTTTTCATGTGTAGCAACGGACTAAAAGGAGAAAATAAAATACTTAAAAAAACTTTTTAGAAAGCCACGTTTTCCTTGTGGACTTTTAAAAAGTAGAAAATAAATTATGGCTCGCCCCAAAAAACGTGGGTCGGGCTGTACGTTCACCATCAAATGTCCAAAATTCTTGTGTTGTGTGCTTTTCGCTTTAATCATAAATCTGCCCGACACACGTTTTTTGGGGCGAGCCATAATTTATTTTCAACTTTTTAGTACACAAGAAAAACGTAGTTTTTTAAAAAGTTTTTTTTTAAGTATTTTATTTGCTGTATAATCAACTTCTTTGCACTTAACTATCAATGCTGCATAGGCCAGAGCTATCTTGTTCTCGTGACTGTAGCTTTTTGATTGAATTTACAATAAACATGGGAAACTACGATATAACTCAATGAACTCGCCAAAATAAATCGTGAAACCAGTGTTGGATATCCTGGGATATGAAAGACTAGAGCTAGTTAGGAAAAATGTCACAGCTTTCATCAACATAGACTGAGATGGAGTAAAAGTTTGACCAATTAGTCGGTTGCCCGTCCACACGCTCAAACTTATCGTCAGTCTTGCATGAACCCAAAGGTCTCGCCCGTCCGTCTTTTTCAGGTTTGTCAAACCTCAAACTCCGCCCACCCGTCATGCAAGACATCAAACTTTGAGCGTCCACACGCTCCGTCTTGTCGTCAATCCTGGCATGACATGCAAGACTGACGATAAGTTTGAACGTGTGGATGGGGCTTATGAGTGAAATCTGCCACGCTGGAGGCCTGTACCGCCGGCCGACGATGCTAGCTTCTGACCTAAATACAGGCGGAGAGCTGATGCTCTGCGCTGTCCAAGATGCTTCTCATCCCGGCGTTTTTATTTTAAATCTGCTTTATATCAAGCAATCGAGATTATTTATACATAATTTGTAGCATACAATATGACATACAGTTGCATTTAAATTGATCTAAAGCATTATCGGATCATATTTACGGATTTAATCTTTTATTCATACAAAATCTGAGGAGAGTGAGGTAGCACATTGCTAAGAAATACTGACGGTTATAAAGAGTCGTCGTGAAAAAAGACTGTGATGTGAAGAAGATTCAAAAAAGCTATTTAGCCTAACAGCTGTGGTTGAACAAAAATGCACGTGATATTCAGTAGTGTAACGACAGGTTCAGTGGTTCACTCAACTCACATCAGTCAGAGTTCCTTTCCTTGATCTGTTGACTCGTCGCTTCGTGCATATAGCACTCCAGGCGACCACGAGCCAGCCGAAAGCAGTGCTGCCAGCGACTATTTTGAAAAACCAAGATTGTACCTCCAAAAAACCTAGAATTGGATGAAAAACCTAGATTTCTACTAACATGTAATTCATAGTAATAAATCCTTGTTGTTCACATAGGAATGAGTATGGATAAATAGGGATAAGCATAAATTACAATTTAACATATTTCCAATTTTTTGAAGAGTTATTTAACATACTACAATTATCATTCGTCCCCATCCCCCTCGTAAACAACAGCTTTATCAGCATGTCTTGCATCCACTAATCTACTTTCATATCTCCTGTAAATGGCTGTTTTCTCATGTAAATGGCTCTTGCAACTGACTACGTTTCGTCCACGTTTATTTAGTGAGGATTCGGTCTCGGGTAGTTGTAGCTTTCAAAGAGTTTGTTTTTTGAAGTCTTCACATTATTAACTTGAGAGAAAATGGTGACTTTGGTGCTTCGGTATTCATCGTCAAGATCAATTAATTTATCTTCAGGCTCCAGGTTTTTGAACTGTGCTGCTAATGTTGCAATGGAAAAAAGTGAATAATTGCAGACAAAGCTTGTGTGTTTAAAATGTTAAGCTGTGCAATAATGCTTCTATCATCAAATGAAAATCTGTGTTTGATTTGTACACAAAATGCAACCAAGAAGTTCAAACAGTCTTTTCCGATTTTTCCGCAAATGTCATCATTAGCCAGCGCGCTAGGGGCTCTTGCTCCAACACTGCCATTGTTCTACCACTAAGCAATATATCTTCAAGAGGTTTGAATGGTTTGCTCTAGCTTGGATCTACATCATATAGTTTTGATTTTGTCAAGCATTCTTCATTAATGAAATAGCTTAATTTATTTTTATATTCAGCAGGGCTATATTCTATACTATATTCAGGGTGGCCTAGTGGTTACATAACATATTGATCTCGGTGCTGAAGTGTAGGCCTGATGTGGCATGTCAACATGCACTTGCAATTCTTCTCATGTACATTAATTAAATAATGTACATGGTCAGGACCTAGCACAATTAATGAATATTGGTCAGGGCCTAGCATTTCCACTTTATTTTCACAACACGACACTCGGCTAATATTGAATTACTGTTTTAAAGCTTGCTCAATTTTTCATTTTTTTACAGTTCAGAGTACCAGGATTGGAGCAGAGAGGCGCGGGTTCGATCCCAGCTCTGTGCGCCAGTTTCTGATCAGAATCGGCGAGGAGGCCGGGCGGTTAAGCACAGCAGAATTGTAGCAGTGAGTTGCGAGTTCGAGACCGCAAAATGCTGTGAATGTTCTGCGATGTTAAGAATCGGCGACAGGCCTACGGCCTAATAAACGCTGAAACAGCCATTATTATATACCATCGAGTGACGGACATGCAACCAAAAATGTTCAGATTGTCATTCCAGGTTGAGTGCATCGACTTTCTTCAGAATATATTGAACAAAACATAGCATATGTTTCGTGTCGGACTAATTAGTAAATCATAAATTTTACGAGTTCCATAAAATTGATCAGTTTTTGCCTGCGATTCAAAGTAAAGAAACAAAGCATCCCACTGCTCCAATACAACTGAAATTACATGCTCTCTCGACTGGGTAGTGAACTGAACTGCCTTTTAATTTTTAACCGACACGCACTCGATCTGTACGAACTTGTACGAACATGTATTAGAAATTATAACAAGTAGTATTTCCGCTTTTTTGGCAATAATAATGATTGATTTTTGTTTTCAGTGCATCATTCTCAAAAAAACTTAGATTTAGATCAGTTTGTAAATTAAAAACATAGAAACCTAGCTGGAAGCTCAAAAACCTAGATCTGAGTTTATAAACCTAGCGCTGGCAGCACTGACCGAAAGTCTAGCGAGAGCTGGCATGTCAGTGACTAGTGTTGGTCTTGGCGTGGTACGGTGGTAGTGGTAGGTAGAATATGAATAAGCTCCAATACCACCACTGCAACCTATTTGCTAGAGTGTCCTATCTGCCAATCTTTAAAAATCAGACTAACTTATATTCATGGGTAAGTATAAGTGATAGAAGTATTTTTGAAAAAATCACACCCGCAAGTCGGGTCGTGTAAATCGAGGAAATGGTTAATTCATTGTGCCCATCATTTGAACTCAATTGACGTGATTGCAGTAACGCTTGTTTATTACATGAGAATCTTGAACAAAAAGAAGTAAAAACGTTTCGATTTCAGCCCATGAAGTTATCGTAGCAAATCTACTGAAAT